TTTTCTGCTAGTTCCTTGATGTCAAGCAGTACGTATCAGATCACGTGACGGAGTTACAGGTACTCGAGAAGTGTTCTCCCTGTGTCATTGTGTTTTTCCAGTCAGAGTTAGTATTTCGTATTGTTTGCTGTCAGCCTGTTTTTTTGGAGACCTTTGTGCTCCTCATTTGTTTTCGTGTATAGTCTGTTGTTTTGTATCCTGGTTTTTGGACCACCAGTAAAGATCCTTGTTTCACCATCCTTGTTTACTGCCTACTGTCTATCCTGCACCGCACCTGGGTCACACCTCACACCAACCCTTTACAGGAAATGTCATTTCTTACACAATCTCACTCAGTGAAGATGCGCCTGGCTATGACTGCAACAGCCTAGCTCAAGAACGAGGGCCAAACACCCAAAGAATCAAAAGCCTTGACACAGGAGCCAAATAATCTCTATTTATTAGGATCCCCATTAGCCGATGCCAATGGCGACAGCTAATCTTACTGGGGTCCGACACATAACGAAAAATATATTACAGACAAAATACTTTACAATTTACATACATTTAAAAACATGAACATGTAGTGTGTGTGTGTGTGTGTGTGTATGTGTGTGTGTGTGTGTGTTTGCATCTATCAGTTATATACACACATGTCAGTACATACACAATCTCGCACAGTGAAGATGCGCTGGCTGTGAATGCAACAGCCTAGCTCAAGGACGAGGGCCAAAGAGTCAAGGAGCCTTGACACAGGAGCCATTGAATCACCAAGTTTCCAAGGAATCTATGGGTGTTGAATCACCAAGTATCCAAGGTGTTGAGACAGTAAATGTTCGGTAAGGGTGGAGCCTCAACAGATATGTCCCAAATGGCACCCTATTCCATTATTTGTGCACTACTTTTGACCAGGGCCAATAGTGCACTATGTAGAAAACAGGGTGTCATTCGGGTCTCAGACATAGTGTCAAGTGACAACGAGCTAATTGACTCATTAAAGATTGATTCATTAGTGATCGAACCAGACGGACCGGCCGGGTGTCGGGGTGCTTGGTGTCTGGCTACGGAGGGAGGGCAGCATTCATTCAATTCATTAATGAGATGCTCGCTGTGCTCAAAAGCTTTGTCAAGACCTGCTCTACCTACTGTCTAATGACTGTGGGTGCGTCCCAAATTTCACACTATTCCCTATAGTACTCTATTTGTCTCAGGTGAAATCTTAGAAAATGATGTCATTTATAGTAGAGGTTTGGATAGAGTACTTTAATAAAGCAGTTTTCCAAGTATCCATTTATTCTCAGCATACATTGTTGAGTCACATCTCTGCAATTGCTGGGACATTTACTACTACTATCTACTGACATTTATTTTGATCTGGTTGAACTTTTCAGAGATGGATTTAGGTTAGCAGAGCAAATGGCAGCTTTGAGTAAGACTGGCTGTTAGGTTTCTCGGTTTCTCTCTTCCTATCTCCCTCCCTCTTCTGCTCTCTTTGACCCCCCCCCCCCCCCCCCCCCCCCCCCCCCTCTCTCTCTCTCTCTCTGTGACCCCCCCCCCCCCCCCACCCCCCCCCCCCCCCCCCTCTCTCTCTCTCTCTCTCTCCTGCTCCTCCCTCTCTCTCCTCTCTCTCTCTCTCTCTCTCCTCTCTCTCTCCTCTCTCTCTCTCTCTCTCTCTCTCTCTCTCTCTCTCTCTCTCTCTCTCTCTCTCTCTCTCTGTGACCCCCTCACCTCACTCTCTCTGTTTCTCTCTCTCTCTCCATGTATCTCTGCTTTCACCTACCCTGTTGTGTCACACAACGCAAAATGATGTCACTTAAACAGGTTAGGGATTAGTGACTGAGATATAGCGTCTAGTCAGACTTTCCATTATATATTTATAGTTGGCCAGACTGCCTGTCCAACCATCTGACTTGAGCTATATTGTTGTTACAAAGTGTAATTTAACACAGACTATCAATAAATCCTAGGTCTTCAGTTGACCTTGCAGTAAATCTTGCCAGTTAAAGTAGTATTGATTGCAGTATTTGAGCGTATTGTGTCAGTCTGACTCTTAGCATAACAACTAGTCTACGTTCTGCAGCCCATATCCCCTTTAGAAGTGACACCTGTAAAGTGTTAGCACAGCCCATATCCCCTTTAGAAGTGACACCTGTAAAGTGTTAGCACAGCCCATATCCCCTTTAGAAGTGACACCTGTAAAGTGTTAGCACAGCCCATATCCCTTTTAGAAGTGACACCTGTAAAGTGTTAGCACAGCCCATATCCCTTTTAGAAGTTACACCTGTAAAGTGTTAGCACAGCCCATATCCCCTTTAGAAGTGACACCTGTAAAGTGTTAGCACAGCCCATATCCCGTTTAGAAATGACACCTGTAAAGTGTTAGCACAGCCCATATCCCCTTTATAAGTGACACCTGTAAAGTGTTAGCACAGCCCATATCCCCTTTAGAAGTGACACCTGTAAAATGTTAGCACAGCCCATATCCCCTTCAGAAGTGACACCTCTAAAGTGTTAGCACAGCCCATATCCCCTTTAGAAGTGACACCTGTAAAATGTTAGCACAGCCCATATCCCCTTTAGAAGTGACACCTGTAAAGTGTTAGCACAGCCCATATCCCGTTTAGAAATGACACCTGTAAAGTGTTAGCACAGCCCATATCCCCTTTATAAGTGACACCTGTAAAGTGTTAGCACAGCCCATATACCTTTTAGAAGTGACACCTGTAAAGTGTTAGCACAGCCCATATCCCCTTTAGAAGTCACACCTGTAAAGTGATATCTAGATATAGGCTTATATTTTAGTCATTTAGCTCTTATCCAGAGTGACTTACAGGAGCAATTAGGGTTAAGTGCCTTGCTCAAGTGCACATAGACAGATTTTTCACATAGTCGGCTCGGGGATTCGACCCAGCGACCTTTCAGTTACAGGCTTTTGCTATCTACTGACATTTAGTTTGATCTGGTTGAACTTTTCAGAGATGGATTTGCTCCTACCCACTAGGCTACCTGATGCTTGCACTGGAATTGACTTTCCTAATTCACAATGTCACAATTTAACCAAGTGACTAGAACAGGTCTTATCGTAGTCACTAGACCAGGTCTCATCGTAGTCACTAGACCAGGTCTCATCGTAGTCACTAGACCAGGTCTCATCGTAGTCACTAGAACAGGTCTCATCGTAGTCATTAGACCAGGTCTCATCGTAGTCCCTACACCAGGTCTCATCGTAGTCATTAGACCAGGTCTCATCGTAGTCACTAGACCAGGTCTCATCGTAGTCATTAGAACAGGTCTCATTGTAGTCACTAGACCAGGTCTCATCGTAGTCACTAGACCAGGTCTCATCGTAGTCACTAGACCAGGTCTCATCGTAGTCACTAGACCAGGTCTCATCGTAGTCACTAGACCAGGTCTCATCGTAGTCACTAGGACAGGTCTCATCGTAGTCACTAGACCAGGTCTCATCGTAGTCACTAGACCAGGTCTCATCGTAGTCACTAGACCAGGTCTCATCGTAGTCACTAGGACAGGTCTCATCGTAGTCACTAGGACAGGTCTCATCGTAGTCACTAGACCAGGTCTCATCGTAGTCACTAGACCAGGTCTCATCGTAGTCACTAGACCAGGTCTCATCGTAGTCACTAGAACAGGTCTCATCGTAGTCACTAGGACAGGTCTCATCGTAGTCACTAGACCAGGTCTCATCGTAGTCATTAGACCAGGTCTCATCGTAGTCACTAGACCAGGTCTCATCGTAGTCACTAGACCAGGTCTCATCGTAGTCACTAGACCAGGTCTCATTGTAGTCACTAGACCAGGTCTCATCGTAGTCACTAGGACAGGTCTCATCGTAGTCACTAGACCAGGTATCATCGTAGTCAATAGGACAGGTCTCATCGTAGTCACTAGACCAGGTCTCATCGTAGTCACTAGAACAGGTCTCATCGTAGTCACTAGAACAGGTCTCATCGTAGTCGCTAGACCAGGTCTCATCGTAGTCACTAGACCAGGTCTCATCGTAGTCACTAGACCAGGTCTCATCGTAGTCATTAGACCAGGTCTCATCGTAGTCACTAGACCAGGTCTCATCGTAGTCACTAGACCAGGTCTCATCGTAGTCATTAGAACAGGTCTAATTGTAGTCACTAGACCAGGTCTCATCGTAGTCACTAGACCAGGTCTCATCGTAGTCACTAGACCAGGTCTCATCATAGTCACTAGAACAGGTTTCATCGTATTGGATACACTCCCATGTAGGCTATACACTTGATTCCGATCGGTCAATTAATAATTCATGTGGGCTGGGTAGGGTTGCATTCCAAATGTCACCCTATACCCAATATAGTGCATTACTTTTGACCAGAGCCCTATTGGTGCCATTTGGGACGCAAACTAGGTCTGTGGCTGTGACCTAGAGATTATTATCTTCTGGTATAATATTCATATTACATCAGGTTTAGAATGCCAGGGACAGTCAGAGCTGCAATAGTAACACAATGAATATTACATCAGGTTTAGAATGCCAGGGACAGTCAGAGCTGCAATACAGAACACAATGAATATTACATCAGGTTTAGAATGCCAGGGACAGTCAGAGCTGCAATACAGAACACAATGAATATTACATCAGGTTTAGAATGCCAGGGACAGTCAGAGCTGCAATACAGAACACAATGAATATTACATCAGGTTTAGAATGCCAGGGACAGTCAGAGCTGCAATAGTAACACAATGAATATTACATCAGGTTTAGAATGCCAGGGACAGTCAGAGCTGCAATAGTAACACAATGAATATTACATCAGGTTTAGAATGCCAGGGACAGTCAGAGCTGCAATAGTAACACAATGAATATTACATCAGGTTTAGAATGCCAGGGACAGTCAGAGCTGCAATAGTAACACAATGAATATTACATCAGGTTTAGAATGCCAGGGACAGTCAGAGCTGCAATAGTAACACAATGAATATTACATCAGGTTTAGAATGCCAGGGACAGTCAGAGCTGCAATAGTAACACAATGAATATTACATCAGGTTTAGAATGCCAGGGACAGTCAGAGCTGCAATACGTAACACAATGGAACTTAGAATGCCAAACAACTAGTGTAGAATGAAAACTTAAAAAGAACCATTCAAAATTCACATGCTGACATTAAATCAAACGGGGTTACTATTATGTAAATGCCATTTTATCAGGTACTACTTTCTGTGCCATAGGATAAAGAGCTACCGAATACCATTGTAAATCCATCATTTGCATTTGTGAATAACTGAGTGGGCACCATAGTCATATTAGACAGACAGTTGGTTTCTCGAGTACAATGCACATTTGGATGCCCATGAAGGAGCATATAGTTAATGTACTTGGCAAATGCTACTCAGTTTGCATGTTGTTGTTGTTTCTTTCTGTTCAGAAGGACAGCTTGGCACATTTACTGTACAAAGTACAACAAAACGAGGGCAAGAAAAATCCTGATTTAGCAATACTCCCAGCCCCTCAACTTCTCCACAACCAAACACAGTTCTCATAGATGTTAGTAGGAAACAAAATGTATTTTATCGAACAAGCATGATGCAAAGGTACTGTGTTCTTTTATAGAACAAGCATGATCCAAAGGTACCTCCCCCTCTCTCTCAAATTCAATTTCAATTAAAGGGGCTTTATTGGTATGGGGAACATATGTCCCCTGTAGCTCAGTTGGTAGAGCATGGCGCTTGCAACGCCAGGGTTGTGGGTTCGTTTCCCACGGGGGGCCAGTATGAAAATGTATGCACTCACTAACTGTAAGTTGCTCGGGATAAGAGTGTCTGCTAAATGACTAAAATGTAAATATGTTTACAGATGATAAACAAAAGTGAATTAAACAATAAAAAAATTAACATTACACTAACAAAAGTTCAAAAAGAATAAAGACATTTCAAGTGTCATGTTATGTCTATATACAGTGTTGTAATGATGTGCAAATAGTTAAAGTACAAAAAGGAAAATAAATAAACATATATACAGGTTATATTTACAATGGTGTTTGTTCTTCACTGGTTGCCCTTTTCTTGTTGCAACAGGTCACAAATCTTGCAGCTGTGGTGGCACACTGTGGTATTTCACCCAATAGATATGGGAGTTTATCAAAATTGGATTTGTTTTTGAATTCTTTGTGGGTCTTTGTAATCTGAGGGAAGTATGTGTCTCTAATATGGTCATACATTTGGCAGGAAGTTAGGAAGTGCAGCTTCCACCACATTTTGTGGGCAGTGTGCACATAGCCTGTCTTCTCTTGAGAGCCAGGTCTGCCTATGGCGGCCTTTCTCAATAGCAAGGCTATGCACACTGAGTCTGTACATAGTCAAAGATTTCCTTAATTTTGGGTCAGTCACAGTGGTCAGGTATTCTGCCACTGTGTACTCTCTGTTTAGGGCCAAATAGCATTCTAGTTTGATCTGTTTCTTTGTAAAATCTTTTTGTTTTCTCATGATTTGGTTGGTCCTAATTGTGTTGCTGCCCTGGGGCTCTGTGGGGTCTGTTTGTGTTTGTGAACAGAGCTCCCCCTCTCCTACTGATGTTGAATGCACATTCCTCCTGCTGTATAATAACCGCTGCAATCCAAGTGGTAATACCTAAAGACCAAGGAAGATGTCCCACTTGCAAAAATACATTAGGGTCTCTCCCTCTCCCTCTCTCTCTCCCTCTCTCTCTCTCTCTCTCTCTCTCTCTCCCTCTCTCTCTCCCTCTCTCTCTCTCTCTCTCTCTCTCTCTCTCTCTCTCTCTCTCTCTCTCTCTCTCTCGCTCCATCTGCGGCTACAGGCCAGATCGCCCACTGTAAAGGGGGTTGAGATCGCCTTACTTACTGTAAAGGGTGTTGAGATCACCTTACCCACTGTAAAGGGGGTTGAGATCACCTTACCCACTGCAAAGGGGTTGAGATCACATTATCCAGTGTATAGGGGGTTGAGATCGCCTTAGCCTCTGTAAAGGGTGTTGAGATCGCCTTACTTACTGTAAAGGGTGTTGAGGTCATCTTACACACTGTAAAGGGTGTTGAGATTACCTTACTTACTGTAAAAGGTGTTGAGATTACCTTACCCACTGTAAAGGGGTTGAGATCGCCTTAGCCGCTGTAAAGGGGGTTGAGATTGCCTTATCCACTGAAAAAGGGTGTAGTGATCACCTTCCTTACCTTAAAGGGTGTTGAGATCACCTTCCTTACCTTAAAGGGTGTTGAGATCACCTTCCTTACCTTAAAGGGTGTTGAGATCACCTTCCTTACCGTAAAGGGGGTTGAGATCGCCTTAGCCGCTGTAAAGGGGGTTGAGATTGCCTTATCCACTGAAAAAGGGTGTAGTGATCACCTTCCTTACCTTAAAGGGTGTTGAGATCACCTTCCTTACCTTAAAGGGTGTTGAGATCACCTTCCTTACCTTAAAGGGTGTTGAGATCACCTTCCTTACCGTAAAGGGGGTTGAGATCACCTTCCTTACCGTAAAGGGGGTTGAGGTCACCTTCCTTACCGTAAAGGGTGTTGAGATCACCTTCCTTACCGTAAAGGGTGTTGAGATCACCGTAAAGGGTGTTGAGATCACCTTACCAACGGTAAAGGGTGTTGAGATCACCGTACCAACGGTAAAGGGTGTTGAGATCACCGTAAAGGGTGTTGAGATCACCTTCCTTACCGTAAAGGGGGTTGAGATCACCTTCCTTACCGTAAAGGGGGTTGAGATCACCTTCCTTACCGTAAAGGGTGTTGAGATCACCTTCCTTACCGTAAAGGGTGTTGAGATCACCGTAAAGGGTGTTGAGATCACCTTACCAACGGTAAAGGGTGTTGAGATCACCGTACCAATGGTAAAGGGTGTTGAGATCACCGTAAAGGGTGTTGAGATCACCGTACCAACGGTAAAGGGTGTTGAGATCACCGTAAAGGGTCTTGAGATCACCGTAAAGGGTGTTGAGATCACCTTACCAACGGTAAAGGGTGTTGAGATCACCTTACCAACGGTAAAGGGTGTTGAGATCACCTTACCCGCAGTAAAGGGTGTTGAGATTATCTTATCCAATGTAAAGTGGGTTAAGATCACCTTACTCACGGTAAAGGGGGTTGAGATCACCTTACTCACTGTAAAGGGGGTTGAGATCACCTTACCCACTGTAAAGACTGGGTGTAACTTAACTTAACAGGATATTTAAAGAGTGCGTGGTCAGTGGAGGAATTTACCGATAAATCTATAGATATAGCAGCCTATTGCCTAATTTCATCTGTCAAACAGGTAGGCCTACCTCTTATTTCTTAAATAGGAAGGAATAGGGTCCAACACAAATGCCTTCTTGTTGTTAGTAAAGTCTAATTAAAATGAAGACGGTTGAAATGAATTATGTCTAATGGAATTTGCCTAGTATCAGCACCATGAGCTGTCCATCGCCAATTGATTGTGCCTCTGTCACGATCGTTGATTGACGGGTCAGACCAAGGTGCAGCGTGATATGCATACATGTTTATTAGACTTACAAACACAACGACAAAACAACAACCGAAACGTGAAATCCAAGGTACACAAACAACATACCTAACACGGAACAAGATCCCACAACCCACTAGTGCCAATAGGCTGCCTAAGTATGGTCCCCAATCAGAGACAAGGAGCGACAGCTGCCTCTGATTGGGAACCACACCGGCCAACATAGAAATACAAATACTAGAATATAAACATAGACAATCACCACATAGAAAATACACACCCTGACTCAACAAATAAGAGTCCCCAGAGTCAGGGCGTGACAGTACCCCCCCCAAAGGTGCAGACTCCGACCGCACAACATACACATAACAGGGTAGGGGCCGGGTGGGCATTCCGCCTCGGAGGCGGATCCGGGTCAGGGCGTGACGACCACCTATTCTCCGCCTCCCTGTTGCGCCCCTGGTCTGGTCTGGACTTCGGCGCGCTGCTTCCCCTCTCCTTCCTCCCACTATACTCCAAGCCCTGTCTGGACCCTGGTGTGGGAGACGGCGAACCTGGAGAGGGGCTGACGTCTGGCTCCGGAGTGGAGCCGCTGACCGGAGCTGGATCAGGCACCGGTGGAGAGGACAGCTCTGGCTCCGGAGTGGAGCCGCTGACCGGAGCTGGACTGGACCCCGGTGAAGCGGATTGCTCTGGCTCCGGAGTGGAGCAGCTGACCGGAGCTGAACAGGGCACCGGTGGAGCGGACTGCTCTGGCTCCGGAGTAGAACAGGCCGGGCCGGGCTGACGACGCGCACCACTGGCTTGGTGCGAGGGACAGGAACAGGCCGGACCGGGCTGGCGACGCACACCACTGGCTTGGTGCGAGGGGCAGGAACAGGCCGGGCCGGGCTGGCGACGTGCACCACTAGCTTGGTGCGAGGGGCAGGAACAGACCGGGCTGGCGACGCGCACCACTGGCTTGGTGCGAGGGGCAGGAACAGGCCGGGCCGGGCTGGCGACGCGCACCACTAGCTTGGTGTGAGGGGCAGGAACAGGCCGGGCCGGGCTGGCGACGCGCACCACTGGCTTGGTGCGAGGAGCAGGAACGGGCTGGACCGGACTGCGAAGGCGGACTGGAGTTCTGGAGTGGAGAGCTGGCACAACCCGTCCTGGCTGGCTACCCACTTTCGCACAGGAGGGTCATGAGGAGAGAATTAGTCTCTTCCTGATCGATTCTCCTGCGTTTCCAGTGGTGTTGGGGCTTCCCTGGTTAGCCTCTCATGACCCAGAGGGCTCTCAAGGGTTGCTCGGGGAGGTGTGTAGGTGTTTCCGTAGGTGCAACTATGGTGGAGAGTCCAAACCAGGTCTCCACTATGCACATTCCTCCCGAATATGCCGATTTGGCTCTCGCCTTCTGTAAAAGGAAGGCGACTCAATTACCACCCCATCGACAGGGGGATAGTATGATAAATCTCTGGGAGGGCGCTGCACTTCCTCGGAATCACGTGTATCCTCTGTCACAAGAAGAGACGGCGGCTATGGAAACATATGTCTCCGAATCTCTGGGACAGGGATACATTCGGCCTTCCACTTCCCCTGCCTCCTCAAGTTTCTTTTTTGTGAAGAAGAAGGATGGAGGTTTACGCCCGTGCATTGACTATTGAGGTCTCAATCAGATACCGGTGAAATACAGTTATCCACTACCTCTCATTGCTAGTATGACGGAGTCATTGCACGGGGCACACTTCTTCACCAAATTGGATCTCAGGAGCGCGTACATCCTGGTGTGTATCCGGGAAGGGGATGAGTGGAAGACGGCATTTAGTACCACCTCTGGGCACTATGAGTACCTCGTCATGCCGTACGGGTTGATGAATGCTCCCTCAGTCTTCCAATCCTTTGTCGATGAGATTTTCAGGGACCTGCACGGACAGGGTGTAGTGGTGTATATAGATTATATTCTCATATACTCCGCTACATGAGCCGAGCATGTGTCCCTGGTGCGCAAGGTGCTTGGTCGACTGATGGAATATGACCTGTACGTCAAGGCTGAGAAATGCCTGTTCTTTCAACAGTCCGTCTCCTTCTTAGGATACCGCCTGTCCGCGCCAGGGGTGGAGATGGAAAATGACCGCATTTCAGCCGTGCGTAATTGGCCGACTGCAACCACGGTTAAGGAAGGGCAGCGATTCTTAGGGTTTGCCAACTACTACCGGAGGTTTATCTGGAGCTTTGGTCAGGTAGCGGCTCCCATTACCTCCTTGCTGAAGGGGGGACCGGTGCGCCTGCAGTGGTCAGCTGAGGCGGACAGGGCTTTTGGTCACCTGAAGGCTCTGTTCACCTCGGCTCCCGTTCTGGCTCATCCTGATCCCTCCTTGGCATTCATAGTCGAGGTGGACGCGTCCGAGGCTGGGATAGGAGCTGTACTGTCTCAGCGCTCGGGTACGCCACCAAAGCTACCCGTTCCACAACGGCCGTGGTCACACTTATTGGTGGATTTCTTTACGGACCTCCCCCCGTCACAAGGGAATACTACGATCTTAGTCGTTGTGGATCGGTTTTATAAGTCCTGCCGTCTCATTCCTTTGCCCGGTCTCCCTACGGCCCTACAGACTGCGGAGGCCCTGTTTACTCACGTCTTCCGGCACTACGGGGTACCTGAGGATATAGCGTCTGATCGGGGTCCCCAGTTCACATCAAGCGTCTGGAGGGCGTTCATGGACCATCTGGGGGTCTCGATCAGCCTGACCTCTGGGTTTCACCCCGAAAGTAATGGGCAGATGGAGAGAGTAAACCAGGATGTGGGTAGGTTTCTGAGGTCCTATTGCCAGGACCGGCGGGGGATTGGTTGGTTTACATCCCCTGGGCAGAGATGGCCCAAAACTCCCTCCGCCACTCCTCCACTAACCTTACTCCATTTCAGTGTGTACTAGGTTATCAACCGGTCCTGGCACCATGGCATCAGAGCCAGATCGAGGCACCTGCAGTGAATGAATGGTTTCGGCGCTCGGAGGAAACCTGGAACGCTGCCCATGTACGCCTGCAATGGGCTATCAGGCAACAGAAGGCGAGCGCCGACCGCCACCGCAGTGAGGCCCCGGTGTATGCACCGGGGGACTGGGTCTGGCTCTCGACCCGAAACCTGCCCCTTCGCCTGCCCTGCCGGAAGCTGGGTCGGCAGTTTGTGGGGCCATTTAAAGTCCTGAGGAGATTGAACGAGGTTTGTTATAGGTTACAGCTCCCTCCTGATTACCATATTAACCCCTTGTTCCATGTGTCTCTCCTCAGGCCGGTGGTAGCTGGTCCGCTCCAGGAGTCTGAGGTGCGCGAGGTCCCTCCGCCCCCATTGGACATCGAGGGGGCACCAGCGTATTCGGTCCGTTCCATCCTGGATTCGAGGCGTCGGGTGGGGGGCCTGCAGTATCTCGTGGAATGGGAGGGGTACGGTCCGGAGGAACGGTGCTGGGTTCCTTGGAGGGACATCCTTGATCCCTCCCTGTTGAAACCACTTTACAAAAGAAAATGTATCATTATTCCCATACCATTATTACAGAGTATCAGACAAATTATGCTACCCTCTGCCCATTGGCTACTTAGCTTATTCAAGCCTATCTCAAAATACAACATTGCTCCTTTAAGACAAAAGAAAGCTTTTTACCTGACTCGCTTTTCAAAAATGGGGGGGGGGGGGGATGGGGGGGGACTGAAAAAAATGGGGAAATCCAAAAGCTGGAAAAAAGAAACAAGAAAACGGAATTTGGGGAAACAATTTATTTTATCAAAAAATAAAAACGGATTTTAAAAGTCCCCACCAACGTTTTTTACTGTGCATGACTGCACTTTAGAGTGGGTGTCATCTTGCGGCACAGATTCTTTGGGTTCAGGTTCAATATTGGCTATGTACCCAAGAGAGAAAGAGGTTGGGCCATCCTAGAAATGTTTTAGAGTAATATAATACATAATAATATATGCCATTTAGCAGACACTTTTATCCAAAGCGACTTACAGTCATGAGTGCATCCATTTTTACGCATGGGTGGTCCCGGGAATCGAACCCATTATCCTGGTGTTGCAATGCTCTACCAAGATGCATGACAAGGTTATAAATGCTTTGTGAAGCCTCAATTTAATATGATTTATAAAGCCTTTATTGAGCGGTGCTTATGCCACCCTATATAAAACACAGGTTTATGTCCTATTTGACATAATGGGCTATGTCACATTTGACATTGGTGGTTATGTCACACAGTTATACCACATTTATGAACCCTTTATAAAGCATGACACACGGTTATAGATGATTTGTGACACAATTATGTAGTGTTTATGAAGGCTTTATGAAGGCTTTTTGAAGCCTTCATAAAGCTGCATGTCATTTAAAGTGGGACCTCTGCGGTCAACATCGTATGTGCCTCACAAATTACACCCTATTCCCTATATAGTGCACTACTTTTAACCAGAGCCCTATGGGAATCTGGTCAAATATAGTGCACTATATAGGGAATAGGGTGTCATTTGGAACGAACACCCTGCTTTTGGGATATTTAACCTTGCAGTGCCGCTGAGACAGCACAGAGGACCAGGGGGAGACAGGACAGGACATGTCCTTAAACAATGGGAAGGCTGCAGGAGATGGAGGAGACAGGGGGAGACAGGACAGGACATGTCCTTAACCAATGGGAAAAGATGTTGGCTGGGGGTCGTTTGTCCTTAACTAATAGGTAGATTGGGGCTGGGGGCAGAGTAGAGCAGGACTGGATGTTTCCTTAAACAAAAGCCCCCATCGGCTGGCTGTCTGTCTGTCTGCTACTGGCCCATCTGCCTTGTTGTTACTGGCCTGTCTGCTACTGGCCCATCTGCCTTGTTGTTACTGGCCTGTCTGCTACTGGCCCATCTGCCTGTCTGTTACTGGCCTGTCTGCTACTGGCCTGTCCGCTACTGGCCCATCTGCCTGTCTGCTACTGGCCCATCTGCCTGTCTGCTACTGGCCCATCTGCCTGTCTGCTATTGGCATTAAATTTTTTAAAATTTTAGTCATTTAGCAGACACTCTTATCCAGAGCGACTTACAGTTAGTGAGTGCATACATTTTCATACTGGTTGGGAATCGAACCCACAACCCTGGCGTTGCAAGCGCCAAGCTCTACCAAATGAGCTACACGGGACACCTGTCTGCCTGTCTGCCTGTCTGCTACTGGCCTGTCTGCCATCCCAAGAGCTAAAACACTTCAGATCACACAGGATTAAGATGGATTTTCCAACGGGCCCTAAAATCTCTGGCTTTCGTCGGGCGATTTTACTTATTGGTCTGCGTAATCAGCAGTTATGTTATATTTCATGTAAATCCCTATGACTCTGAGCGGGTCCTCGTTTTGACACTCCAGACTGCAGTAAAAGGCCGTAAATGCAGTGATTTTGTTTGGTTTTATACCTTTATACCTGGCCTCCTGATCAAGATGATATTTAAATGTCAGAATAAACTGTGAAGTTCACCTATATATATATTCATCCTCTATCCTACCTACTGCTGATCAAATCAAATCAAATATTATTGGTCGCGTACACATATTTTGCAGGTGCAGCGAAATGCTTATGTTTCTAGCTCCAACAGTGCAGTGATACTGAACAATACAAAACAATACACACAAATCCCCAAAATAAAAAAAATAAAGATCTGTTAATGATCTGTATTTGGGTTTCATAATAGCGTGAATTCACTGACTGGTTTTGTTGATGTCATCAAGGAACACACACACTGAACATTCAGTCCATTAAGGCCATCAGGAAGTCTCTATGAAACTAGCACCATGGCCTTATTTAACCTAAACACGTCTGCAAGGTAGTGTTGCCTTTAATTAATAAGAGAAGGCCAGATTTAATCAATTATGAATCTTAGTTAAAGTTCAACAACAGTTAACCTCTACGGGATCGGTGTCCCGTATACGGGACGGTTGAGCTAGCGTGCGCTAATGTGATTAGCATGACTGTTGTAAGTAACAGCAAACTTTCCAGGATATAGACAAGTCTTATACGGGCAGAAAGCAATGCAGTGCAAGAAAGAGTTAAGAAAAGATTTACCAAATAAACCCCCCCAAAAAATATATAAAAAGGCTATATAAGGCGGGTACCTGTACCGAGTCAATGTGCGGGGGTACAGGTTAGTTGAGGTAATTTCTACATGTACAGTTGAAGTCGGAAGTTTACGTACACCTTAGCCAAATACATAATCAACTCAGTTTTTCACAATTCCTGACATTTAATCCTAGTCAAAATTCCCTGTCTTAGGTTAGTTAGGATCACCACTTTATTTTAAGAATGTGAAATGTCAGAATAATAGTAGAGAGAATGATTTCTTTCAGCTTTTATTTCTTTCATCACATTCCCAGTGGGTCAGAAGATTACATACAATCAATTAGTATTTGGTAGCATTGCCTTTAAATTGTTTAACTTGGTCCAAACGTTTCGGGTCGCCTTCCACAAGCTTCCCACAATAAAGTTGGGTGAATTTTGGCCCATTCCTCCTGACATAGCTGGTGTAACTGAGTCAGGTTTGTAGGCCTCCTTGCTCGCACACGCTTTTTCAGTTCTGCCCACAAATGTTCTATAGGATTGAGGTCAGGGCTTTGTGATGGACACTCCAATACCTTGACTTTGTTGTCCTTAAGCCATTTTGTCACAACTTTGGAAGTATGCTTGGGGTCATTGTCCATTTGGAAGACCCATTTGTGACCAAGCTTTAACTTCCTGACTGATGTCTTGAGATGTTGCTTCAATATATCCACATAATTTTCCTTCCTCATGATGCCATCTATTTTGTGAAGTGCACCAGTCCCTCCTGCAGCAAAGCACCCCCATAGAATGACGCTGTCACCCCCGTGCTTCACGGTTGGGATGGTGTTCTTCGGCTTGCAAGCCACCCCCTTTTTCCTCCAAACATAACGATGGTCAATATGGCCAAACAGTTCTATTTTTGTTTCATCAGACCAGAGGACATTTCTCCAAAAAGTACGATCTTTGTCCCCATGTGCAGTTGCAAACTGTAGTCTGGCTTTTTTATGGCAGTTTTTGGGCAGTGGCTTCTTCCTTGCTGAGCGGCCTTTCAGGTTATGTCGATATAGGACTTGTTTTACTGTGGATATAGATACTTTTGTACCTGTTTCATCCAGCATCTTCACAAGGTCCTTTGCTGTTGTTCTGGGATTGATTTGCACTTTTCGCACCAAAGTACGTTCATCTCTATGAGACAGAACACATCTCCTTCCTGAGCGGTATTGTCACGATCGTCAAAAGGAGCGGACCAAGGCGCAGCGTGATATGAGTACATACTTTATTATAATTCACCACACGAACAAAAACAACAAAACGATACGTGAAGTCCTCGGTAACATACACAAACCTACACGGAACAAGATCCCACAAAAGACAAGTGCACAATAGGCTGCCTAAGTATGGTTCCCAATCAGAGACAACAAGCAACAGCTGATTCACGTTGCCTCTGATTGAGAACCACCCCGGCCAACAAAGAAACACATAAACTAGATTGTGAACATAGAACACAAAACATAGACACTACACACCCTGGCTCAACATAAAAGAGTCCCTAGAGCCAGGGCGTGACAGTACCCCCCCCCCCAAAGGCGCGGACTGCGACCGCGCCAACATAAACCCAACAGGGGAGGGGCCGGGTGGGCATTCCTCCTCGGAGGCGGATCCGGGCGTGACCACCACCCTCTAACAACCCCCCCGTAGTGCCCCTGGTCTGGTCTGGCCCCGCTGGCTGGAGCTGGACTGGACATCGGTGGAGCAGATTGCTTAGGCTCCGGTGTGGAGCAGCTGACCGGTACCTGACCAGGCACCGGTGAAACGGGCACGGGCTGTGCCGGACTGACGACGCGCACCACAGGCTTGGTGCGGGGAGCAGGAATGGGCCGGACCGGGCTGACGAAGCGCACCCCTGGCTTGGTGCGGGGAGCAGGAACGGGCCGGACCGGGCTGACGATGTGCACCACAGGCTTGGTGCGGGGAGCAGGAATGGGCCAGACCGGGCTGACGACGCGCACCCCTGGCTTGGTGTGGGGAGCAGGAACGGGCCGGACCGGGCTGACGATGCGCACCACAGGCTTGGTGCGGGGAGCAGGAATGGACCGGACCGGGCTGACGAAGCGCACCACTGGCTTGGTGCGGGGAGCAGGAACGGGCCGGCCGGGCTGGCGACGCGCACCACAGGCTTGGTGCGGGGAGCAGGGACAGGCCAGACCGGGCTGACGACGCGCACCCCTGGCTTGGTGCGGGGAGCAGGAACGGGCCGGACCGGGCTGACGATGCGCACCACAGGCTTGGTGCGGGGAGCAGGAATGGACCGGACCGGGCTGACGAAGCGCACCACTGGCTTGGTGCGGGGAGCAGGAACGGGCCGGGCCGGGCTGGCGACGCGCACCACTGGCTTGGTGCAGGGAGCAGGTACGGGCCGGACCGGGCTGACGACGCGCACCCCTGGCTTGGTGCGGGGAGCAGGAACGGGCCGGACCGGGCTGACGATGCGCACCACAGGCTTGGTGCGGGGAGCAGGAATGGGCCAGACCGGGCTGACGACGCGCACCCCTGGCTTGGTGTGGGGAGCAGGAACGGGCTGGACCGGGCTGACGATGCGCACCACAGGCTTGGTGCGGGGAGCAGGAATGGACCGGACCGGGCTTACGAAGCGCACCACTGGCTTGGTGCGGGGAGCAGGAACGGGCCGTGCCGGGCTGGCGACGCGCACCACAGGCTTGGTGCGGGGAGCAGGAACAGGCCAGACCGGGCTGACGACGCGCACCCCTGGCTTGGTGCGGGGAGCAGGAACGGGCCGGACCGGGCTGACGATGCGCACCACAGGCTTGGTGTGGGGAGCAGGAATGGACCGGACCGGGCTGACGAAGCGCACCACTGGCTTGGTGCGAGGAGCAGGAACGGGCCAGGCCAGGCTGGCGACGCGCACCACAGGCTTGGTGCGGGGAGCAGGAACAGGCCGGGCCGGGCTGGCGACGCGCACCATTGGCTTGGTGCGAGGGGCAGGAACAGGCCGGGCCGGGCTGGCGACGCGCACCATTGGCTTGGTGCGAGGGGCAGGAACAGGCCGGGCCGGGCTGGCGACGCGCACCATTGGCTTGGTGCGAGGGGCAGGAACAGGCCGGGCCGGCGACGCGCACCATTGGCTTGGTGCGAGGGGCAGGAACAGGCCGGGCCGGGCTGGCGACACGCACCATTGGCTTGGTGCGAGGGGCAGGAACAGGCCGGGCCGGGCTGGCGACGCGCACCATTGGCTTGGTGCGAGGGGCAGGAACAGGCCGGGCCGGGCTGGCGACGCGCACCATTGGCTTGGTGCGAGGGGCAGGAACAGGCCGGGCCGGGCTGGCGACGCGCACCATTGGCTTGGTGTGAGGGACAGGAACAGGCCGGGCCGGGCTGACGACGCGCACCATTGGCTTGGTGCGAGGGAAAGGAACAGGCCGGGCCGGGCTGGCGACGTGCATCACAGGCTTGGTGTGAGGGACAGGAACAGGCCGGACCGCACTGGGAACACACACCACTGGCCTTATACGGGGATCAGGAACGGGCCGGACCGGACTGGTAACACACTTCAGTACCTCTCGCCGTGCCTCTACACTTTCCTTCCCTCTAATGACCAATGGCCCCCGTAACCTGGTGGCGTTCTCTCCATGTCCACAAACTCGCCCTTTATCTGCCTCCAGCAGCCCCGTCGTCCATGCCATGTGCCCCCCCAAAAAAAATTATTGGGGGTGCCTCTCGCCTGTCCGACGACGACCCGGTTGGCGCCGCTTCTTCTCTCCTGCCTGGGTCTCCCCTTTCATCGCCCTCCGGTAACGGACGGCCTCCTCCTCCGTAATCTGCCCCCAACCGAGGAGGACATCCACTAACGTTACCTCCTGCGTGTGCTCCTGGACACGCTGCTTGGTCCAGTATTGGTGGGATCTTCTGTCACGATCGTCAAAAGGAGCGGACCAAGGCGCAGCGTGATATGAGTACATACTTTATTATAATTCACCACACGAACAAAAACAACAAAACGATACGTGAAGTCCTCGGTAACATACACAAACCTACACGGAACAAGATCCCACAAAAGACAAGTGCACAATAGGCTGCCTAAGTATGGTTCCCAATCAGAGACAACAAGCAACAGCTGATTCACGTTGCCTCTGATTGAGAACCACCCCGGTCAACATAGAAACACATAAACTAGATCGTGAACATAGAACACAAAACATAGACAATACACACCCTGGCTCAACATAAAAGAGTCCCTAGAGCCAGGGCGACAGGTATGATGGCTGCGTGGTCCCATGGTGTTTATGCTTGCGTACTATTGTTTGTACAGATAAACGTGGTACCTTCAGGCGTTTGGAAATTGCTCCCAACGATGAACCAGACTTGTGGAGGTCTATACATTTTTTTTTTCTGAGGTCTGGGCTGATTTCTTTTGATTTTCCCATGATGTCAAGCAAAGAGGCACTGAGTTTGAAGGTAGGCCTTGAAATACATCCACAGGTACACCTCCAATTGACTCAAATGATGTAAATTAGCCTATCAGAAGCTTCTAAAGCCATGACATCATGGTGTTTAAAGGCACAGTCAACTTAGTGTATGTAAACTTCTGACCCACTGGAATTGTGATACAGTGAATTATAAGTGAAATAATCTGGCTGTAAACAATTGTTGGAAAAATTACTTGTGTCATGCACAAAGTAGATGTCCTAACCAACTTGCCAAAACTATAGTTTGTTAACAAGAAATTTGTGGAGTGGTTGAAAATTAGTTTTAATGACTCCAACATAAGTGTATGTAAACTTCCGACTTCAACTGTAGGTAGGGGAAATAGTGACTATACATAGTTAATAGACAAGGGGTAGCAGCAGTGTAAAAACAAATGGAGGGGTGTGTGTGTGTGGGGGGGGGGGGGGGGGTCAATGTAAATAGTCCGGGTGGCCATTTGATAAATTGTTCAGCAGTCTTATGGCTTGGGGGTAGATGCTGGTAAGGAGCCTTTTGGTCCTAGACTTGGTGCTCCGGTACCGCTTGTCGTGCGGTAGCAGAGAGAACAGTCTATGACTTGGGTGACTGGAGTCTTTAACCATTTTTTGGGCTTTCCTCTGACACCGCCTAGTATAGAGGTCCTGGATGGCAGGAGCTTGGCCCCAGTGATGTACTGGGCCGTACGCACTACCCTCTGTAGCACCTTATGGTCAGATGCAGAGCAGTTGCCATACCAGGCGGTGATTCAACCAATCAGGATGCTCTCGATGGTGCAGCTGTATAACTTTTTGAGGATCTGGGGACCCATGCCATATCTTTTCAGTCTCCTGAGGGGGAAAAGGTGTTGTCGTGCCCTCTTCTGTCTTGGTGTGTTTGGACCATGATAGTTCGTTGGTGATGTGGACACCAAGGAACTTGAAACTCTCGACCCGCTCCACTACAGCCCCGTCGATGTTAATGGGGGCCTGTTCGGCCATCCTTTTCCTGTAATCCACGATCAGCTCCTTTGTCTTGCTCACATTGAGGGAGAGGTTGTTGTCCTGGCACCACACTGTCAGGTCTCTGACCTCCTCCCTATAGGCTGTCTCATCGTTGTCGGTGATCAGGCCTTCCACTGTTGTGTCATCAGCAAACTTAATGATGGTGTTGGAGTCATGTTTGGCCACGCAGTCGTGGGTGAACAGGGAGTACAGGAGGGGACTAAGCACGCACCCCTGAGGGGCCCATGTTGAGGATCAGTGTGGCACAGTGACACAAAACAGGAGAATGAGTCCTTTTCTCTATTCAAACTGGTTGAATTAGTGATTGTTATATTGCAGGTACCTACAACTCACCACAGGTAATGGAGAATCACCTGCTTCAAATAGGATTATTTCTAACGATTTCTAGAAGGTGCCAATAATATTCTCTGAGCCATTTTAGGATTTCTTTGTGGAATAAGCTAACATTTAGTAGATTATTCAACAACAAAAAAATTGTGTTCAACTGCAAACCAAAGACATACATATGTGGATACAAAAATATTTTTTAATTTCAGCAGTTTTCTGGAAGAAATTGTGCATTATTTGAAAAAAGTGCAAGGGTGCCAATATTTTTGGCCACGGCTGTATGCAGGGACGCAACTTTGGTTTCAGAAGTGGGGGGAACATCATTTTTATTTATTAAACATTTTTGTTGGATAAACACTCCAAACACCCGACCGCTCGGTTTTTACACACATCCAAAATAATAACGGGAGATAAAATAATGTAATAGCCTACAAAGATAAAAATGGGATGTCTGCTGCTGCCAAACGTCATCTTTTAATAAAGTTTCTGAGATTTATTTCAAAGCGGTCTCATGAGCCAAACCCTTTATCAATAGTATTGGAGCAGATCAAAAAGACAGCCTTCATTGAGGACTGGAGGTTACGCTTTTTAATCCAATGAAACAAAAATGGGAAAAAACATAAAATTTTATGTTTCTAAATACAAGTTTAATGGGCACAAAAAGCACATCTCTCTTGTTCCATGCGCATATGGTCACTGTCCATCATGGCTGCATAAGCTGCGCTTACGTTGTCAAAATCCATAACCAACCACGTTACCACTAAGACCAGCTTTGGTTGGTCTTAAATATCCCCACCAGTTCATACTGAAATTGGCACTTTGGCAAGGACACAACTCAGATATTGCCACCACTCCCGCCTCATTGCAAGCGAGCTCATATAAGACAGGTAAATTACCAATCATGGCGCTAGGCTTTGAAAATAGAAGAGTTCCGGCTATTAAAGGGATATTTCCGGATTTTTGCAATGAAGCCCTTTACCTACTTCCCCAGAGTCAGATGAACTCTTGGATACCATTTTTATGTCTATAGTGGCTTGCGAAAGTATTCACCCCCCTTGGCATTTTTCCTATTTTGTTGCCTTACAACCTGGAATTAGAATTGATTTTTGGGGGGTTTGTATCATTTGATTTACACAACATGCCTACCACTTTGAAGATGCAATTTATTTTATTGTGAAACAAACAAGAAATAAGACAAAAAAACTCTAACTTGACCGTGCATAACTATTCACCCCCCCCCAAAGTCAATACTTTGTAGAGCCACCTTTTGCAGCAATTACAGCTGCAAGTCTCTTGGGGTATGTTTTTATGAGCTTGGCACATCTAGCCACTGGGATTTTTGCCCATTCTTCAAGGCAAAACTGCTCCAGCTCCTTCAAGTTGGATGGGTTTTGCTGGTGTACAGCAATCTTGAAGTCATACCACACATTCCCAATTGGATTGAGGTCTGGGCTTTGACTAGGCCATTCCAAGACATTTAAATGTTTCCCCTTAAACCACTCGAGTGTTGCTTTAGCAGTATGCTTAGGGTCATTGTCCTGCTGGAAGGTCAACCTCCGTCCCAGTCTCAAATCTCTGGAAGAGATCCCTGTATTTAGCACCATCCGTCATTCCTTCAATTCTGACCAGTTTCCCAGTCCCTGCCGATGAAAAACATCCCCACAGCATGATGCTACCATCACCATGCTTCACTGTGGGGATGGTGTTCTCGGGGTGATGAGAGGTGTTGGGTTTGCACCAGACATAGCGTTTTCCTTGATGGCCAAAAAGCTCAATTTTAGTCTCATCTGACCAGATGTTTGGGGAGTCTCCCACATGCCTTTTGGTGAACACCAAACGTGTTTGCTTATTTTTTTCTTTAAGCACTGGCTTTTTTCTGGCCACTCTTCCGTAAATCCCAGCTCTGTGGAGTGTACGGCTTAAAGTGGTCCTATGGACAGATACTCCAATCTCCGCTGTGGAGCATTTAAATTACAGGTTGTAATGCAACAAAATAGGAAAAACGCCAAGGGGGATGAATACTTTTGCAAGGCACTGTATATGTGGATGATACTATTGTGTACGCAATTGCCCCGACTGCTGACCTGGCTATGACAAGGCTACAGTCCGATTTTGCAGTTGATTTAAAACTCGTACTTAATACTGGCAAAACTACATACATGTTGTTTTCAAGTTCTCGTAAGATTGTCTCAGATGGAATGACAAAAAAATTTAAATGTATCAAAGTGCAGCTGCCTCTATTCTTAAACCCCTGGATGCAATGTTTCATAGCGTCCTTCGTTTTATCACAGGAGGACGTTTTATTACTTATCACTGTATTCTTTAACAGAATGTTGGTTGGACTTCTTTGAATTCACATAGGATCACATCCTTACACTCTTTTTGTTTAGAAAGCCCTGCTCCACAAGCTTCTGACTTACCTAACATCACTGTTAAGATTTAAAATGACTAGTTATCAAACCCGTTCACAGGGTCGGTTAACCTCTATGGTTAACCTCTATGGTGTCCCGTATACGGGATGGTTGAGCTAACGTGCTCTAATGTGATTACCATGACTGTTGTAAGTAACAGCACACTTTCCAGGATATAGACATGTCTTATATGGGCAGAAAGCTTAAATTCCTGTTAATCTAAATGCACTGTCCAATTTACAGTAGCTATTACAGTGAAAAAATACCATGCTATTGTTTGAGGAGAGTGCACAACAACCAAAATCTTATCACGGCAACTGGTTTGATACATTGATACATTCACCTCTGAAGGTAAATAATGTACGTACATTCAGTAATCTTGCTCTGATTTGTCATCCTAAGGGTCCCAGAGATAAAATGTAGCATAGTTTTGTTTGATAAAATCAATTTATATATTAAAATGGCTCCACACCCACCCCGCCCGGCCATCTAGATGTGTGAAAGTTAGTGTATAAGCTAATAATCCATCATGTATGACATTCCTGGGAGTGTATACACTTACATTTTGTATTACCATAACATTTTAAATTGTTTGTATGTTCTCTATAGTTATGTACTTTAAAATGTATCAATTGACCAATTCGGCACATTTGGGCAGACTTGATACAAAATAGTCCAGTATTGCAATGCATCACTGGATCAATCTGAAACGTTGCACGCACACTGCTGCCATCTAGTGGCCAATATCTAAATTGCGCCTAAACTGCAATATTATATTGTGGCCTTTCTTTTGCATTTCAAAGATGATGGATAAAAAAAACAACTGAAAACACCATTTTTTTTTTGTTTGTATTATCTTTTACCAGATCTAATGTGTTATATTCTACTATATTAATTTCACATTTCCACAAACTTCAAAGTGTTTCCTTTCAAATGGTATCAAGAATATGCAAATCCTTGCTTTAGGTCCTGAGCTACAGTCAGTTAGATTTGGGTATGTCATTTTAGGCGAAAATTGAAAAAAGGGTTCAATCCTTAAGAGGTTAACTCTAGAGACTCCTTTGGTGTATAGAGTGTCAGGTAAATCAGCTTTTGGTTTCCTTGCGCATTGTGTGTGGAATGATCTACAATGCACTTTAAAATTGGAGGAATCGGTGCCTCTAGGGCATTTCAGATGGTTGTTAGGGGACCTTTTTACTGTCTGTTTTTTCTGATTGTGTTTAGCTTTTTGTGTATTGTTGTCAGTGGTGATTTAAGCATGTAAATCTTGGTGGGGCAAACAAAACATGTTTTTTGAATGCATGCCAGCAAAGCCACTACACAACACAACACTAAACAATACATGAATTGCACTATAACTGTGACAAACGGTGCCCACAAACTGTTAGGGCCTACAGAAAGCTGTCTCAACAGCAGAGTCCCAACACCTTACCACCGCTACACCTGGCTATCAGCGGAGCCTTGTCTGGCAGCGAAACAGTTATAGCGACAGAATCCAGAACTTGGGCCGTTCTTAAAGTATTCTCCCTGTACACCAAGTCAGAACCGTAGGATAAATAAAAGGGAAGCATAATAAGCAGACAATGAAAGCTCTTAAAATATTTTGATGATGACATTTCTATAAAACAGTCTATAGGCTACATGTGCACCACCAACAGCTAACAGCTTACTACTCAACATACACTTAGTATTACTTTCTTAGCTACAGTATACATATCTCCCTGGCATATTACATCATTTGTGCAGAAGCATACAAGACATATTTGGACACCTTGGTGTGCTGTGCTCACATGAACAGGAAGGTTGGCGCGTTTGTCATCAAACTTGTCATCAAAAGTCTGCCATTCTCTGGATTGATGGTGCGTTCAAGACAACTGGGAACTCTGAAAAAAAACAAGGTCGAATCCTGATCTTCAGATTGGAGCTCTAGAAAGAGGCCAGAGTTCCCAACTTGCAATTCAAATCAAATCAAATCAAATCACATTTGTCACATACACGTGTTTAGCAGATGTTATTGCGGGTTGTAGCGAAATGCTTGTGCTTCTAGCTCCGACAGTGCAGTAATATCTAACAAGTAATATCTAACAACATATACCCAATACACACAAATCTAGTAAGGACTGGAATTTAAGAATATATACATATATGGACAAGCAATGACAGAGCGGCATGGACTAAGATACAGTAGAATATTATAGAATAGAATACAGTATATACATATGAGATGAGTAGTGCAAGATATGTAAACATTATTAAAGTGACTAGTGTTCCATTTGTGGCCAGTGATTTCAATAGGCAGCAGCAGCCTCTAATGTGCTATTGATGGCTATTTAACAGTCTGATGGCCTTGCGATAGAAGCTGTTTTTCATTCTCTTGGTCCCAGCTTTGATGCACCTGTAATGACCTCGCCTTCTGGATGATAGCGGGGTGAACAGGCAGTGGCTCGGGTGGTTGATGTCCTTGATGATCTTTTTGGCCTTCCTGTGACATCGGGTGCTGTAGGTGTCTTGGAGGGCGAGTAGTTTGCTCCCAGTAATGCGTTCGGCAGAACGCACCACCCTCTGGAGAGCCCTGGGGCCCACACTCCCAGGGCCCTCACCTCCTCCGAGTTGGATGACCGTTCAAATGTATTTCCTCAGTCGGAGCTCCTTTTTTTCCTTTTTTTCAGAGTTCCCAGTTGTCTTGAACGCACTGTAGTCAGATTTCCCAGTTCCGAGTTTCCAGTTGTTTTGAGCGCACACAAGTCATTCTGGATTGACAGCATGGCCAATGTATTCAACCTTTTCTGGCCAATGTTGAATGTTTATCCTTTTAAGCTTGGAAAAGAGACCCTTAAACCCAGACTTGGGACCACACAACCCACTCCACTGAATAGCAGGCTAGTGATTGCTTTGCAATGCTTGCAGTTAGCCACTGATTCCTTCCAAACCACTCATTGTTGAATTTGCGATTTCCAACTGTGTAATGTTTATGTCCAATGGCCAATGAGCACCGTTATGTTTTATCTATAATTTTTCTTCATTATTTATCTTCATATGACAAGGATTGAAAAGGATTTTCCAGCAGATTAATGACTTGATTCATGATGATGACTGCTAGCTTGCTAGCTAAGATTTTGAAAGTATGATGTTGACATCAAAGCTACTGTAGATATAACGTGATTTGACGTCATTTTATCTGTGGCCAATGACCTTGAGCCTTCTTGAATGGGCACTTCTAATGTAACTCTATGGCAGCATCCAAGGGGATAGAATTTTCGAGCTCTACCCTTAGATTTTGCGGTGACGTAGTGTCCCCATGAGTGACAGAACACTGAGCCCATCACGGCGCAACTAGTGAACATTACCAACCCCTACGCGCAGTATTTTCCGCTGGCTGCCCCACCACCACCACCACCACAGAAAGGACTGAGCTAGGCTGAAACACTTGCATTTTGGATCTGCCTTCCTCGAGAAAGCAAAAAAGAGACCAAGTTCGTATGCAGCTTTATTTAAATAAATTAAATAAACATCTCTGGTGGGAAAATGTGCATATTGTTTTATGCAGATTTTTGAATATTCACATGAAAATCTGTCGCAAATTGGATGGGCTCCTAGCCACTGAGAACATTAAAGTTTTCTGAATCTGAATACCATGTGGGGGTGAAGGCTGTCATCACAGTAGACTGATAGACTGCGCAAGGCAGTGCAGGAATTTCAGAAACGTCAGCCTGCTATCCTGAAACAGTGAAACATAACAAAACGTTTAACAGTGAAGTAAGCTTTATGTGACATCTTTTTGAGTGTGAATCTGCCATGTGTTTTGATTACCCATGCACATGGAATCTGCAAATGTTTCACCAAATCAACATAAAAGCTGTATTAGTAGCGGAGAGCTCAAACAATATTACTTCCCAGAATTCCTTTTGGCAGTGTAATTTCAAACTGTACTCTGAAAACACGCAACTATTAGCAAAATAGATTTGGACATTTCTCTTCCTGCACATTGTTATTCTGTACTCACAACTTCAAATCTACATAATGCTATTCAGAGCATTAAAAAAAAAATCTACTGTCGCAGTGCTAGCTGTGCCACTAGAGATCCTGGTTCGAGTCCAGGCTCTGTCGCAGCCGGCCGCGACTGGGAGACCCCATGGGGCGGCGCACAATTGGCCCAGCGTCGTCCAGGTTAGGGGAGGGTTTGGCCGGCAGGGATGTTCTTGTCCCATCGCGCACTAGCGACTCCTGTGGCGGGCCGGGAACAGTGCACACTGACTCGGTCGCCAGGTGTACGGTGTTTCCTCCGACACATTGGTGCGGCTGGCTTCCGGGTTAAGCGGGCACTGTGTCAAGAAGCAGTGCGGCACGGTTGGGTTGTGTTTCGGAGGACGCACGACTCTCGACCTTCGCCTCTCCCGTGTCCGTACGGGAGTTGCAGCGATGGGACAAGACTGTAACTACCAATTGGATACTACGAAATTGGGGAGAAAAAGGGTGTAAAAAAAATAATATATATATATATACAGTGGGGAGAACAAGTATTTGATACACTGCCGATTTTGCAGGTTTTCCTACTTACAAAGCATGTAGAGGTCTGTAATTTTTATCATAGGTACACTTCAACTGTGAGAGTTGGCTGGTTCTTCAGCATGACAACGACCCGAAACACACAGCCAGGGCAACTAAGGAGTGGCTCCGTAAGAAGCATCTAAAGGTCCTGGAGTGGCCTAGCCAGTCTCCAGACCTGAACCCAATAGAAAATCTTTGGAGGGAGCTGAAAGTCCGTATTGCCCAGCGACAGCCCCGAAACCTGAAGGATCTGGAGGTCTGTATGGAAGAGTGGGACAAAATCCCTGCTGCAGTGTGTGCAAACCTGGTCAAGACCTACAGGAAACGTATGATCTCTGTAATTGCAAACAAAGGTTTCTGTACCAAATATTAAGTTCTGCTTTTCTGATGTATCAAATACTTATGTCATGCGATAAAATGCAAATGAATTACTTAAAAATCATACAATGTGATTTTCTGGATTTTTAGATTCCGTCTCTCACAGTTGAAATGTACCTATGATAAAAATTACAGACCTCTACATGCTTTGTAAGTAGGAAAACCTGCAAAATCGGCAGTGTATCAAATACTTGTTCTCCCCACTGTATCTACTGTCCATTCACTCTCAAGAGGTCAGTCTCTCGTGAAGGTGGACACACACGTTCTCATTCTAATCATGTCAATCAATACTGTAATTATGAATGACAGCTAACCCGCGACACAGAGGAACAGCACAACAATTATGTACCATCTACTATCACTATTTGGCCACAGTAGAACAGGGCTGCTAGCTTGCTACTCCATTCCACCATAACTCCGAGAGCAAAGGTAATGAATTGGGCTAGCTGTCATCAGAGGAGGTAGGGGAAGAGGAGGAGGAGGAGGAGGAGGAGGGGGGTAGGGGTGAGGGGGAGGAGGAGGAGGATGAGGAGGGAGGATAGAGTATTAGCGGAGATGAAGAGGAGGAGGAGGAGAGAGGAGAGGGAGGGAGATTTAGGGATGATGAAGAGGAAGAGGAGGGAGAGGAGGAGGAGGAGGGAGGATTAGGGATGATGAAGAGGAGGAGGAGGAGGGGAGGATAGGGATGGATGAAGAGGAGGAGGAGGGAGAGGAGGAGGAGGAGGAGGAGGAGGGAGGATTAGGGATGATGAAGAGGAGGAGGAGGGAGGGAGGAGGAGGAGGGATGATAGGGAGAGAGGGAGGAGGAGGGAGGAGGGGGGGAGTGATTGATGAGAAGAGAAGAAGGGAGAGGAGGAGGAGGAGGAGAGCGGAGGAGGGGAGGAGGTAGGGGATGAGCGGAGGAGATTAGGGAGGAGGAGGAGGAGGGAGGGAGGAGGAGGAGGAGGAGGAGGAGGGAGGATTAGGATGATGAAGGGAGGAGGAGAGGAGAGGAGGATTTAGGATGGAGGAGGAGGAGGACGAGAGGAGGAGGGGAGGGGGATTAGGGATGATGTGAAGAGAGGGCGGAGAGGAGGGGAGGAGGCGGAGGAGGAGGAGGAGGAAGGAGGAGGGAGTGAGGGAGGGCGGAGAGGAGAGGAGCGAGGAGGGAGGATTAGGGATGATGAAGAGGAGCGGAGGAGGGGAGGAGGAGGAGAAGGCGGGAGGATTAGGGATGATGAGAGGAGGGGGAGAGGGGGGATTAGGGATGAGGAGCTGAGGGAGAGGAGGAGGAGTAGAGAAAGGAGTAGTAGGAAGAGGACATAATCAGCAGTGTCTGGGATACTCTCCCTCTATGGACACTAGTATTTAGTATTTATTAGGATCCCCATTACTGCCAACTCTTCCTGTGGTTTAAACAGAACACAACCCCAATCAAAAGCCCTGGATTAACTCTGAGGTGCACGCTACATTTAAGGACAGAGCTACCGCTCACAGGGCTATCGCAGCTAACCCTGAGGCATACGGCTGAGGACACGAACCCGTACAAGAAGACCCGCTGCCACAATATCGGAACAAGGTGGAATCAGAGCCGCCGGAAAAGGTGTGGCGAGACAGCATTTGCCCCAGTACTTTACATCTCCACACCACTTTCTCAGCACATTTTTGCGTTCCAGTTCAACATTTACCAGCTCTGTCGCAGTCTACTCTCTGAGCTTATTTATTTTAGGGAAAGTGATTTACAAAAGTAAACGTTCGATAGTGAACATACTAGCAATATGCTGGCTACTGTAGTGTCGAGATAACGATGCTGAGATGCTGTGATGACAAGAAATCCGCTGACACTGTCCTTGATTATAATATTTTATTACATCAAAGATTTCAGCGTCGATTTACAGACTCCTGCAGACATCTGGAGAACAACCAACCCAATCTCTAATATGTTGTTCCTTCCCCGTCCTTTGTCCCAACCATAGTATTTATAATCTGTAACATGATATGGGTGGTTTTCCCCACAGACCAATCCCAGGACTCCACATAACAGACTTCCTCTAACACACCATTTGCAAACATCAGCAAAGTCATAAACTGTTTAGACACTACACTACTTTTGATAGTCTGCAAAAAGAAAGCTACAAAAAATACACTTTAGCATTTGTCTTGGCTGGCCTGCTGTAGCCAGGTCTATATCTCTTTTGGAAAGCATTTGTCTTAAAGGGGCAGCGTCCTATTTTGAGATGTATAAAACGTCTTCTCAAAATGACCTACTTTAGAAAATAATGAATGGAATTAATACAATGCAATTCTAAAGAATAGAGTAATGACTTCCATTGCTAAATTATAGTAAACCGTTTTTTAACACATATCATAGTAACCAAATATAGCCTATTAATAGCTGCATATAGAGAGAACGCATGCCAATTTATATGCCCTGCAATACCCCAATGCATTTAAAAACTACACCATGTCCGGTTTAGTAGAAATTCTGTTCAGGCCAGTAGATTTTTAGTAGGCTATGACCCTGTGCGAATAGGACCCCGAGTTTTACCCGACCAGGTCATGAGATAAGGAAAAACTCCAGGCCCCAGAAAAGACATGTACGAATTTTGCCACACCTGTTTTGAACCTGTGGTGCCACCTCTGGGTGGAATCCTATTATACCGACTCCGACGCTCGGTGCATGTTGCGTGATCTGCCTCTCTTCCAGATGAACTCAATGCCTGTTATGCACGAAAACAACTAGGATCCCTGCATGAGTGCCCGCGCTAATCCGGAGGACTGGGGGATCTCTCTCTCTCCGAGGGTGAGTAAGGTTGCTGGGCCGTATTCCAGGGTGTGTCCTCAGGGCATGACCAGCTAGCAGGCGCCTTCACAGTCATTTTCAACCTCTCCTTGTCCCAGTCTGTAATCTCCACATGTTTCAAGCTGACTACCATCGTTCCTGTTCCCAATAACTCTAAGGGTACCTGCCACAATGACTACCGCCACAGAGTTTTTAAACTCAGAGTCGTAACATCGCGAGATTTCCGGGAACGCTTGCGAAACAGACCAAGCAAATCAGGCCGGGGTTTGGCGTTTGAGATGTCAACGGGAGAAGTGAAAAATTATTCCTTAGTTGTTAATTTTCTCGAAATCTAATGGCACAACCTAGAATCGAGACAATTTCTTAAGTAGTTGAACATGTTAATGTGGCAGACACATTTTCATTTTCGTCAAAAGCCACTTTATATCGAAGGAGTGCCTTCGATTTGACGACATGCACGTGTGTAGTTCGGCGCGAGACGACTGTTAGACCCGACGACGTGTTTCTAAGCATCGCCTACAAGTGTGATTGTGGATTTCTATTGTACTGTCTTCGCTACCGCCCTGAAGCACTCACATCTGTCATAATTAAGTGCTTTGGAAGCATCAACTCCATCATCCCAGACACACTGGACCCCACTCCAATTACATACCACCCCAACAGATCCACTGACGACGCAATCTTTAATTTCACTCCACTCTGCCCTCTCCCACCTAGAATATAGGAATAACTATAAATTTAAATGTTAGTCATTTAGCAGACGCTCTTATCCAGAGCGACTTACATGAGCAATTAGGGTTAAGTGCCTTGCTTAAGGGCACATCGACAGATTTTTCACCTAGTCGGCTCAGGGATTAGAACCAGCGACCTTTCGGTTACTGGCACAACGCTCTTACCCACTAAGCTACCTGCCGCCCCTATGTGAGGGTGCTGTTCAGCTCAGCGTTTGACACCATATAGTGCCCTCCAAGCTTGTCACCAAGCTCGGGACCCTGGGATGGAACAACCCCCTCTGCAACTGGATCCTGGACTTCCTAACACGGGGGGACCCCCCGTGGGTGTGTGCTTAGCCCCCCCTCCTGTACTCCATGTTCACCAACGACTGTGTGGCCACACACGACTCCAACTCCCATCATCAAGTTTGCTGACAACAAGACGGTGGTTGGCCTGATCACCAATGGCGATGAGACAGCCTACAGGGAGGAGGTCAGAGGTCAGCAGACTACAGGAAAGTGGGGGCTCCTCAGACTGTTCTCTATGCTCCTGTCCGGCAGACTGTACTCAGCATCAACGCACAGACCAACAGTTTCCTAAACAGCTTCTGTTGACTGGCCATAAGACTGTTAAATGGCTAACAACTACTGCTCCACCTCACAGCTACTTTGCTGCTAAAATGATTATTGTTTAGATGTATTATTACCACTACGTTGCTGTTCATTGATTATTGATTGCCACGACCATTAAATATTTATCTATTTTATCCAGCTACTGGTATTACTCCTGTTCACATGCATATATTACCATTAGTATCAGTATTTATATATTCCTGCTACCAGACACGTTTCAGCCCTGTATATCCACCTATTACTCCTAGACTGACACACACACACCACACACACACACACACACACACACACACACACACACACACACACACACACACACACACCACACACACACACACACACCACACACACACCACACACTCAAACACGCACACACACGAACACACAACGCACACACACACACACACACACGCGACACGCGCACACGCGCACAGCAGGACACGCACACAACGCGCACACGCGCACACGCGCACACGCACACACGCGCACACGCACACAACGCGCACACGCGCACACGACACACGCGCACACGCGCACACGCACACACGCGCACAGACAACACGCGCACACGCGCACACGCACACACGCGCACACGCACACACGCACACACGCGCACACGCGCACACGCGCCACGCGCACACGCACACACGCGCACACGCGCACACGCACACACGCACACAACACACACACACACACGCGCACACGCGACACGCGCACACGGCACACGCAGGACACGCACACACGCGCACACGCGCACACGCGCACACGCACACACGCACACACGCGCACACGCACACACGCGACACACGCGCACACGCACACACGCGCACACGCGCACACGCACACACGCGCACAGCACACACGCGCACACGCACAACGCACACACGCGCACACGCGCAACACGCGCACACGCGCACACGCACACACGCGCACACGCGCACACGCACACGCGCGCACACGCGCACACGCGCACAACGTAACACACGCTCACACGCCACAACGCACACGCACACCACGCGCACACGCACACACGCGTCACACGCGCACACGTCACACACGCGCAACGTCTCACAGCGCACACGCGCAACGCGCCACACACACACACACACCAAACAACACACACACACACACACACACACACAACACAACACACACACACACACACGTACATACGCACACACACTACAATACAAACTCACACTCACACACACACACACACACACACTTACACACACACTCACTCACAAATACACACTCACACACACTCACACTCACACACACCTACACACACATACACTCACTCACCACCACCACCAACACACACCCACCTCTTATGCTGCCGCCATACTGTTTACTATTATTATTATTTATCCTGCTACCAGTCACTTTCTCCGAAACCCGCCTTCATGTACAT